ATAACATTTTATCCTGTTTCATAAAGAGAATCCTTTTTTATCTTTCAGAATATTCATGAAAGTTAATTTTTTTTCTCTCTAAGATGTTTCTTCCAAATTGACCTTTTTTTTTTAGTTGAAGTCTCACTCAGACGCCCAGACTGGAGTACAGTGGCCGCTCCCGGCCACCGCAGCCTCGACCTGCTGGGCTCCGGCGATCCTTCCGCCTCAGCCTTCCAAGTAGCTGGAACCACAGACGCGCGCTACTACACCCGGCTAATTTTTGATTTATTGTAGAGATGAGGTCTCACCAAGTTGCCCTGGCAGGTCTCGAACCCGCGGGCTCAGGCAATCTACTCATCTTGGCCTCCCAAAGTGCTGGGATTACAGGCTGAGCCACCGAGCCCGGCCAACCTTTTTTTTTTTTCTCTTTGAGTTGGAGTCTTTCTCCATCACGCAGGCTGGAGTGCAGTGGCACACTCACGGCCACCCCAGTGTCAGCCTACTGGGCTCAGGCGATCCTTCTGCCTCAGCCTTCAGAGTAGCCAGAACTACTGGTACACGCTACCAGGCCTGGTTAATTTTTTGATTTATTGTAGAGATAAGGTCTCGTCAAGTTGCCCAAGCTGGTCTTGAACCCGTGGACTCAGACAATCTTCTCATCTCAACCTTCCAAAGTACTAGGATTATAGGCTTGAACCATCATGCCCAGCCCCCAATCAACCTTTTGAAATATTTATTTTGTTTTCTATCTTTTTCAGGTAAGAGACCTTCTTAGATGTCTGGAAACCTTGTCTGTCTGCTCATAATTATGAGTAGAGAAAAGAGCTGCTTAGACACTGAGAGAACAGCGCTTAATAACATTGAACTTGACTGTTGTGTGAATTGTGTGAGCTGTTTATTAAAGAATACCAAATGTCAATGTATTAGTTACTGATTGCTACTGGGACAAATAACCATAGATTCAGTGACACAAAACGACACAAATGTATTATCTTACAGTTCTAAAAAGCAGAAGTCCAAAATCAGTTTCACTCCACTAAAACAAAGATGTTGACAGGCCTGCATTTATTCTGGAGGCTCTAGGTGAGAATCTGTTTCCTTGTCTGTTTCAGCTGCCAGAGGCCCCTTCACTCTTTGATTCCATGTTCAAAGCCAGCAGTGTAGCAACTTCTCTACTCTCTGATTCCTTCTTTTTATTTTTTGGGGGGTGGGGATCTTACTCTGTCACCCAGGCTGAACTGCAGTGGCACAATCACAGCTCATGCAGTCTGGACTCAGGTGATCCATCTGCCTCAGCCTCCCAAGTAGCCGAACTACAAGTGGGGGCCACCATGCCTAGCTTTTTTTTTTTTTAATTTCCAATTTCTTACAACTCTCTCTCTCTCTCTGTGTGTGTGTGTGTGTATTTAATACTCCTACCTTCCTCTTATAGGAACTCTTGTGATTACATTGAGCTCAACTGGATAATCCAAGATCATCTCCCAATTTTAAGACCCTTAATTTAATCACATATGTAAAATCCATAGCAATTCATTTCTGTGTAACATATTCACAGGTTTCAGGGATTAGGACATGGCATTTTGGTTGGGAGGTGACTGTTATTCAGCCTACCACAATCAGTGTCTAAGTTTTTCCTCTTGCATTGGCCACACTCCCTATAGAGAATGTCCTTCCTGCTGGGAAGTTCATACTCCTGCTGGCTCCTACATTCTGAGGTCTGAGTGGGTTAAGGGGGATCAGGGGAGGAAGGAAGAGTATCTCAATGACTATCATTTATCATTTAAGATATACCAGTCACTTAAGCTCTCTGATTGTGGTGCAGTAGTGAAGTATCGTTTTTTTTTTTTTTTTTTCTGAATCAGCGTCTCACTCTGTTGTCCAGGCTGGAGTGCAGTGGCACAATCACGGCTCACCACAGCCTTGACCTCCTGGGCTCAGACAATCCTTCCACCTCATCCTCCCTAGTAGTTGGCACTACAATCACGTGTCCAACATGCCCGGCTAATTTTTTGTTTGTTTTTGTTTGTAGAGACGAGGTCTGGCTATGTTGCCCAGAACCCCTGGGCTCAAGCAATCCTCACACCTCAGTCTCCCAAAGAGCTGAGATGACAGTATGTGGACCCACAGTGTACCACTGCACCCAGCCTCGTATATTTAGTGAATCTATTTTCCTTCAACTCAGAAATCTATTTTACCCTTTCCAAAGAATAAACTTTCATTTATCTGCCCATTTCCCAGTGGCGCGGGAAGAGAAGGGATATAGATATTTACAGGATCCTTCTTGTTTAATGGTCATCTTTTACTCCCAGGCCCAGATTTATCTGGTACAATTAATCTGGGAGTATTTTGAGGATTCTGATGTGTAAAAGAGGTTGGCCTTCAGCTTCTTCCACGGACAGCTCAGAATTCTCATGTTTCTTGAGTTGATTACCGGTCATCAAGATGCTTTGTAGCTTTTCTTGCTGTTCAAAGACCTGGAACCAACCTAGCTGCTCATCAATAGTGGATTGAATAAAGAAAATATGGCATATATACACCTTGGACTATTACTCAGTCATAAAAAAGAATGAAATCATGACCTTTGCAACAACATGGATACAGCTGGAGGCCATAATTCTCAGCAAGTTAAAACAGAAACAGAAAACCAAATACCTCATGTTCTCACTTATATGTGAGAGATAATCACTGGGTATACACATGGGGTTAAAGATGAGAACAACAGACACTGGGGACTTCTAAAGGGGGGTAAAAGAGACAAGGGTTAGACAGCTGCCTATTGGAGACTATGTTCACTATTTGAATAATGGGTTCAATAAAAGCCCAAACCTCAACCATCACGTAATATATCCACATAACAGACTTGCACATATATCCTCTGAATTTAAAATAAAACATAACAACAATAATAGAGTGTTCTTGCCATTGTATCCTCTCCTAATTTCCCCATATTTGTGTCAAAAACAATAACAACAACTTCAGCTGGACTTAGTGGCTCATGTCTGTAATTCCAACACTTTCTGTACTTTGGGAGACCGAGGCAAGAGGATTGCTTGAGCCCAGGAGTTCAAGATAAGCCTGGGCAACATCATGAGACCTCGTCTGTACAAAACGTTTTAAAAACAAGTAGCTGGGTATGGTGGCACACACCCGTAGACCCAGCTACTCAGGAGGCTGAGGCGGAAGGACTGCCTGAGTCCAGGGGGTCGATGCTGTGGTGAACCGTGATTGTACCACTGCACTACAGCTTGGGCAACAGTGGAAGGCCACCAACTCAAGCAAATAAGCATAATAAATAAATAAATAAACCTTTATTGTAAATGAAGTGTGATTTTTAGGCACAAGTGAAATTAGGGATATGTATGTTTTCATCTTAACCCAGAAAAAGCATTTGATTTGATTTGATTTTGTTGTGTTCCTTGGATCAGGCAGGGTATTCTCTCGGACCGGGTAACCAAGCACCTCATCCAGGGCTCTTTCTAAAGTAAAAAGATTTCAGTGACAGGTTTGTTTATCCTGCTCTGCCCTCCTAGTCACACACACTCAAGCTTTTCCGCCTTCTTCATTTCCTGCCAGTACTTCCAGTCCTGGAATCTTGTCCCTAATTCCCAACAGAAAGCAGAACTGGCGGGAGTGTTTCTGAATACAAGTAGTTGTGGCTTTTGTAGCTGTCGGGAATGGAGCTGTCCCCACTCCCTACAGTTTTCCAGTGGGATGGACATATGTAAGCCAGAGGCAGGGTTTAGGAACTTGGGTGTGATGGCTGTTAAGCTCACAGTCCTCAAACACGTGACAAAAGGAAATAAGGACGTGCCGGCTTCCCAGGCACTTTGTCTAGTCTAGTAATGCCTACCTCTTGCCTTTGCCTTCTTTCTCTGCCCAGAATTCTGACCCATGACCCAATGTTGTTTCTGTGGCGTTTTCTGGCCTCAGCCATCCCACATCTGCTCCAGCAGCAGCTGGATTCTGATCTAAGTCACCAGGTTCTACGAGTATTGCACATACTAACTTACTTAGTCTTAGCAACAATCCTATTATTATTCCCGTTTTAGAGATTCAGAAACTGATGCACAGAAAGGTTAAGTAAATTTGACCAAAGTCACACAGCTAATAAGGCAGAGCCTAGATTTGAAACTGAACAGTCTGATTCCAGAGTGCATCTTTATTCCACTATGCTATTGACCAATTACAAATCATATCCATGTGTCAAACACTATTTTCTGAGATATATATATATATATCAATAAAAGATGCAAGTTAGTATACACACACACACACACACACGGATATACTCATTTAATCCTCACAGCAACCCTAGATCAAGCAAACAACCGAAAAGGAAAAATATTAAAGATCTGAACAACAAAATTAGTAACTTGACCTAAGACTAGAACCTTATGCTCAATATTTAAAGAAAGTACATACTTTTTAAGCACATAGAACATTTACAAAAATTATCCATGAGACGAATCTTAAAACATTTCAAATTATCAGAATCATATAGACAACTTTCTATGATCACAATACAATTAATTTAGAAATAATAGAAACATAAAAACTCATATATTTGAGAATTTTAAAGCACATTTAAAAACTCATGTATCAAAAATAAATTATAAAGAAAACTAGAAAATATTTATTACTGAATAATAAGGAAAACACAACATTTTAAAATTTGTGAGATGCAACCAAAGTGGTACTTAAAGAAACATGAATGCTTATTTTAAGAATTAAAGAAAGGCAGAAAATCATTAAGCTAGGCACTCAATTTAAGAAGTTGGGAAAAGAACAATGAGATAGAAGCAAGAATAGGAGAGAAATAATAAGTATGAGAACAGAAATGCATAAAATAGAAATCATTCTCAACTATAATTAGCTTGCAATACTCTCTGAGAATTGGAAAGTAGAAAGTATCTCTAGAAAGGGTTGGAAAAATGACTATTTCACACATACCTCTATGTCTTTCCTCTGGATTTTACAGAAAGGATTAGAAGACACTTGCTTTTTAGATGACATTTATTTTTTCTAATAATTCAAGTATGAAACACTTTTATTTTACTTTTGAGATTTGCATGTGCTTTATTTAGTACAGTCAGAAAATGTCCTTCTTTTGGGTGAGGAGTCTAAAGTGTCACATATGGAACACATTTTCAAAGGCAGTTTTGAAATGATTGAGCAGAGTAAAGAAAAGAAATCTAATTCATAATCCAATCATCAGATGATAATTATTGACTATTAACTTTTAAATATTTTCCCAATCATATATGGATATATCTGAAGGTGTGGACATGTCTACACATCGTTATTTTAAGATGGTTACTTACAAATGTGGTTTCACTTTCCCCCAACCCACTCTCTGACTTTGGCACGAAGTAGGTGTTGACAGAACACTGTTGATGTTGCCCATGTGGTAGAGCAATGGAGAAGTGGCAGAAGTGTTGAGGCCCAGTGGACATGTGGTAGAGCCACAGCAAAGCAACCACACAGGGCCGAAGGTCTGGCAAGAGTGTTCAAGATTGAGGACCTACTGGGTCCACCATACGCCAGACCCTATGGACATTGGGAAAATTTGAAGATATGGCTGTTGTCCCCAAGGAAGCCATGGCATGTGTAGTGAGAAGTCTGTAAATGTTCTACTTTTTAATCTTTCTTTTTAATAAACCCAGGTTCTGGTAACTGCCCATGACACAGGTACAATGGTCATTTTCTTTAGTCCATTGACTATGTCCCCAGCTGCTCACTTATCTTGAAGCTACCCCGTCTAGCCCTCCACACTTACCACCAGGAGTGAGGAAATAAGACCAAGAGTTTAGTTAGATTGTGTAAGTTTCTGTAAAACTCTTTTTGGAGTATCTGTATTACTACCTTCCTCACTGATTATTGATTACAGGGTCATTCCCATAATGTTTGCAGATAACACTGGGAAACATGGGGAAAGAATGTATGCCTTTAAAAAGAGAACATTTTTAATAGTAAAATATGAGTTTAAAACACATTCCATAAAGGAAAATAGGAAGTAAAAAGAAGGGTTTTCCATGACCCAAAACAACCACAGTTGGCATTTTGGTGTGTTTCCTTCTAGATTTAGTTTTGAGCCTAGATTTTGATTATTTGGTGTTTTGTTTGTTTTAGTTACACTGTAAATTTGTAACTTGCTTTTTCATGTAGCATTATTCATAATCTTTAAAACACCAGTTAGAGCTACTATATAGTTTTATAGTCAATTTACCACTCTTTATTTTTATTTTTATCTTTTTAACATAAGAAAACATTTGCAGAATGTACCACTTTTTATTTAATCTTTCCTCTAAAGTTAGACTTTTGGGATATTCCTAATTTTTGAGAACATAAAACAGTGTTACAATATACATTTTTACATAGTTTTATCTTGCATTCTTATTAATTTCTCTACTATAGATTCTTGGAAATAGATTTGTTTGATCAAAGGGAATAAGCATTTCTAGAGTTCCTGACACATGTTGCTTAGAAAAAACATTCTAATTGCATGTTGAATGAGGACTGCAAATTTCACAGATGAGCACAATAAACACAAATGGAGAATCTTGCCCTCAAATCTATACAGTGGACATAGACTTAAACAGATATATCTTGATAATGGAAAAAACATTTTTGTCTTTTTTCAAATGATTCCAGGCTATAGAAAAAAGAAAAAAACAACAAAGTGAGTGAAGTTATAAATTTGACTTAATTAATGATTCATAATTCAGGTAGCAACTTAAACTATATTTCATATTCAAAACATGATAGAAACAGCTAGAAAAGGTATGACACATGCATTGTTAAACAAAATAAGAGATATCTCATTCATGATATTTCTTCACTCTGAACTTGTTGAATAGGTTTAGCAGTTTCAACCATAACTAAAGAAGCATTAGTGTTTTAGGAGATGAAGAAGGAGCTTCAATAAGATAAAGAAACATTTCACCTGTTCTTCAAAACCATGCACTAACGCACCCAATATAAAGCATCTTTATTAGTTGAATGTAGCAGCACTCAAAAGAGAAAGTATTTCAATGGGATGAGGTTCCGAGCCTTTCATTATATTATGAACAGGGACATTCTTGATAAATGGTGGAACTTCTTTGTGCTTTGTGGATTATCACTCCTCAAAACACTGAAATAGTGCTTATCCAAAACACTTATGAGGTCAGATGCAGTGGCTCATGTCTGTAATCCCAGTAATTTAGGAGGCCAAGGCAGGAGGATTGCTTGAGTCTAGAAGTTCATGACCAGCCTGGGCAACACGGTGAGACCTCATTTCTACAAAAAAATCCAAAAATCAGCCAAGTGTGGTGACACACGCCTGTAGTCACAGCTACTCAGGAGGCTGAGGTGGGAGGATCACCTGAGGCAAGAAGGTCAAAGTTGGGGTGAGCAGTGATTGTGCCACTGGACGCCAGCCCACAGAATGAAACCCCAACTCAAAAACAAACAGGTGGGACTTAGTGACTCAGCCTGTAATCCCAGCACTTTGGAAGGCTGAGGCAAATGGATTGCCTGAGCCCAGGGGTTCGAGACCAGCCTGGGCAATTTAGTGAGACCTCGTCTCTACAATAAATAAAAAATAAGCCGGGCATGATAGCACGTGTCTGTAGTTCCGGCTACTTGGAAGGCTGAGGTGGAAGGATCAGTGGGACCCAGAAGGTCGACATTGGGGTGACCTGAGTGTGCCACTGCACTACAGCCTGGGTGATGGAGTGAGACTCCAATTCAAAAAAAAAAAAACCCAAATAAAAATAAACAAAATTTTAAAAAATAATAAAAAATAAAAACAAACAAACAAACAAAACACATTCATGCAGTTTCACCATAGAACGTAGAATGTACATTTTGCAACTATTGAGTTGATTCCATTCTTACAGACAAGGAAAAAGACACATTGGAATATAAGAAAAAAACTGAGATATTAGAACTTCAGGAAATATGAAGGTGGAAGACATGGGGTAGGGGAAGTATGGAATTCCAGAGATCTTTCAACAAGACCCATTGAATCCTGGGAAGCAAGGGTAAGATGGCAGGGGTACAGGTGCCATGAGGATTTGTAGTTACCTGGATGATGACTGAGTAACTTGCACACAATATCCTGGATAACTGAATGACCAATCTGATGAAGCAGATGATCACTTGAAGCCCACTGAGGGTTACGAGAATGGAAAATAAAATGATGTTCCACTCCACTCCATGTACAGGCTCCAGGCACCAAACCCACATACTGGAATCTATAAGGAAACTGAGAGAGACCCATGGCCAAGTCTACAGATTTGGTCCAAGGAAGAAGGCTGCAGGCACTTACATGTTTGGAAGACTAATATATGTCATCAAAGTATATAGTAATATTAAATAGGAATTAATGTTTTTAAAAAACCATTCAAATACACATATTGAACACTTTGTTTATTATAAATGTGGTGCCCGCCTTAGGGGCAAACCCAATTCAATTAGGAAGCAGACATATACCAAAGAGCTCAATGGCAATGAAAGACAGTCAATACCAAGACAGACGGAGAGAGCCCATTCTCCAGGAGCCCAGAGGTTTAAGAGACAGAGCTGAGCTCCTGCTGGACATAAAATCAGACATGTGGTAAAATAACAAACAGAAATTCTGCTAGAAATTCTTAAATTTGGCTGGGCTCGGTGGCTCAGCCTGTAATCCCAGCACTTTGGGAGGCCAAGGCAAATGGATTGACTGAGCCCGCAGGTTCAAGATCAGCCTGGGCAACTTATCCAGACTTTGTCTCTACAATAAATCAAAAATTAACCAGACATTGTAGTGCACGCCTGTAGCTCCAGCTACTTGGGAGGCTGAGGCAGAAGGATCACTGGAGCCCAGCAGGTTCAGGCTGGGGTGGCTGTGAACATACCACTGCACTCCAGCCTAGGTGACAGAGTGAGACTCCAACTCAAAATAAAAAATAAAAAGAAATTCTTAGACTCTGCCTCAAAGCCTTCTAGAACAGTGGTTCTCAAACTTGAGTCTGCATCAGTATTATCTAGAGGATTGTTAACATACGGATTTCTCAAACCTAAGTGCCCAGCAACAATTGACTGGATAAAGAAAATACTGGGTTCAGACACCATGGATACTATACAGCCATAAAAAGAATGAAATCATGTCCTTTGCAGCAACATGGATGGAACTGGAGACCATCATCCTAAGGAAACAGACTCAGAAACAGAAAACCAAACACTTGCATGTTCTCACTCATATGCAGGAGCTAAATGGTCACAAAGATGGAAATAATAGACACTGGGGACACCGGTAAGGGGGGAGGTGGGGAAAGAGGTTAGGGTACAGAAATTACCTAGGGGGCGCCATGTTCACTATCCAGGGAATGGGCCACCTGAGACCCAATCCCCACCACTACACAGTATGTCCATCTAATGAATATGCATGGATATCCATTGAATCTGAAATAAAGATGACAAAAAGAAAAAGAAAAAAAAAAAAACAAAACAAATCTCTGGGTCCCGTCCTGGAGTTTCTGATTAGGAGGTTGGACGTGGTTTAAGCGTCTGCGTGTCCAAGTTCCCAGGCGATTCTCCTGTCCTGGCACACAGCATGAGAAACTCTGCTTGGGAACATTGTTGTGCCACCAATGCTAAAAAGATTTAGATTATGGAGTGGGAACATGACGGATCAGAAGTTTCAATCAATCTGGTGTAGCACAGAACTGTGAGTATTAAACCACTCCCAAGACAACTTTAAAACTACTCTGAATCAACCTAACTTTTGCTACCTGCTGGGTCTGCCGTGGCCGCTGGCACTTCTCCTGAAGGTGAGTCTATCTCTGAAGCTAAATTGCAACGGGGAATTGGTCTCAAAATCAAAACAAAACACCTCAAACAAAGACAATCAGACACAGTGACAGGGCGGAGATGTTTATAACCATCTTGAGTTGGTAGTAAGATGGTTTTTCTCAGGCAACCTCAGTATTGGCCAAACGGCTATGGGTGTTTATGGAAGGGGTAGAAAGGGGTGACTTCTGAACTTTGATAACCACCTTCACCCCCATGACCTCTCCTCTTATTCTTTCTCTCACTTCCATTTCTTTTCTAGTTAGTTAGTTAGTTACTTAATTACTTAGTTAGTTACTTAATTACTAACTTAGTGTCAGGGTATCACTTTCCTGCCCAGGCTGGAGTACAGGGGCATGATCATGACTTACTGCAGCCTCGACCTCCTGGGCTCAGGCAATCCTTCTGCCTCAGTCTCCCGAGTAGCTGGGACTACAGGCACACGCCACCACACCCAGTTAACTTTTGGATTTTTTTTTTAGAGTCGAGGTCTTGCTATGTTGTCCAGGGTGGTCTTGAACTCCTGAGCTCAAAAATGCCTCCTGTTTTGACCTTCCAAAGTTCTGTAATTACAGATGCGAGCTATGGTGTCCAGCTCCCTTCATTTTAGCTCTCTTTCCCCTCTGTCTCTAGTTTCTGCTCTCTCACGCTCAGGGAAGCAGAAGCACCCTGAGATTTATATATATATATATATAAATATATATATAAATATATATATATACATATTGCTAATGGCCCTTATCTCAATATGAAATCAGAACTCCTGGATCTGTAGGATCCTGAGCAAAGTCCTTGGTTCCTCTAGCCTCCGGGATCTTATCTGGACAATGGGATTAAAATACCCAACCCCACAGCGTGAGTCTTCTGTGAGCATAAAAAGTGTGTATAAAATGATCGGAGTCTGTAAAGCACAATTCAGATGTGGGTTTCTGTTACAATTTCCCTGGGCCCATCTCACATCCCTAACTCAGCCTCAGCCACCCTGGAAGTGAGTCCCTTCAGGGCATCCCTCGAGACTGTTCCTGGTACATGTTCTGCACAGACCACGCCACACTTTGCAACAAGATGACTTGCAGGGTTTCTGTTTTTCTCCCAGACTACGGTCCTGTCCTTTTTGTTCTTCTTGTGAACGGTGGAGAGTCGTCAATGCCCTAGCACGGTGGGCCAGGCATAGAAAAGCTTGCTTGCCCTGACACCCACTCCCTCCACCATCTCCACACACAGCTCTGTCCCAGCATTTCCTCCATTTGTTATGCTTCTATCTGTATCCACATATCTGTATCTGCGTCTGTTTCTACTTCCTAAACAGACTGTGTATTCTGAGAGCACTATGTTTTGTTCACCTCTAAATGGTCAGCTCTAAGATCTAGGTAGTGCCTGATACATTGCAAAAAATCAACAAATGATTGTTGAATGAAAACCAATTAAGGATCCTTATATTTCTGTTTCATTTTGTTTTTTGTTGTTTTGGAGCTGGAGTCTCACTCTGTCACCTAGGCTGGAGTGCAGTGGCACACAAGTGGCCACCCCAGTGTTGACCTGCTGGGCTCTGGTGATCCTTATGCCTCAACTCTCCAAGTAGCCGGAACTACAGGCCCATGCTATCAAGCCCAGCTAATTTTTTATCTTTCATTGTAGAGACAAGCTCTCACCAAGTT